CTGCTCGACTTTGTCGCATTGTCATTTTCATTGTAATTAATATTTTTTTATGCTTGGTAATAGGAATTATGGAGATACAGAGTCTAAATAAGATGCGTCTGATAATATCAGGTTAAAAAAATGATTTGAGTTTAAACTGAATTTATTATAACGAAATGTGAAAACTAGAAAACACTGACAAACGTTCAGCGGTGCACTGAACCGGAATGTGGCGAGCTAGGGTTAACGATTTGCTCGCGATACGCGCGAAATGTATTCGTTGCTTAGGACCTTGCCGACCGATCGTTCTGCGTCGAACGCTTCTCTCGCGGAGGAAAGTGCGGACATGTGCGTAGATTAGAAATCTGGAAATGTGTTGATCTTTTGTAATCCTTTGGCGGATCTCCACGGTGAGAATTGACAGGAAGTATCACTTCTCAGGCTCGCGATTGCGTTTTAGAGGCCATTCGCGATTTCAGCTGTGGAATTTAGCGTGTTCGACGCCTCGGGCGGATGGCTCGCTTCGAGGACACTCCTCTTTCGTTTCCCTAAACGAGGCGCCGCGTGAAAAAGAGGAGATACACGGAACGGTACCTCGAGTAGGATCTCCTCCACGAAAAAGTGGCACGGGTTTCTTTCTCGCGTCTGCCTCAGACGTTACTCGTAATCGGGGCTCTATACATATACAGATGGTTCTCGTATCGGAACAACCTAGTTATAAAGCCTTTGTTAAAACGGCTGGTTCACGGTAGCGCGATCTCCATTTCGGAACTCTTGCTCGTCTCCCTATAGAGGAAACTATTTAACCGTAATTTTATAAAAGAGATAAATTGAGAAACAGCTTGGTTGATAAAATAATTTACAGATTTCGGTATAACTTTTACTCAGGGTATTTGTGCCGTTCGGTAAATTTATAAAAATTTTATAGCGGAGTTAAAGTAAAACGACTAAAAATAAACGAAAATTTATTTTCTGCAGTTTAGAGTGCGGCCTAATATATTGTTTTACAAATAATAAATTAGATAATAAATTAGAGAAAAAATATTGTCGTATGTTACATTATTTATATTGCTTGTTGAATGTGTCCGATATACGTTTATATTGCGTATGTAATTTTTCTCCCAAACGAGAAACTGCCTTTAGTAATTTTTTTTGTTTAATGTGTTATACATATTTATTACTTGGCTATAGCAGGTTTATTTGTAACTGATTAAACGTGTTCCTTAAAATTTCCAAGAAATTATCATATCGCAGCAACAACATGTTTATCTTACTATATGATTATCTTATTATCAAGTAAAACGTATTTCTCAAAATTATATATATATATCGATAATCTATAGTTATTGATAGTTATTGATAGACGAATCAGAAAGAAATCTTAGAAACAAAATAAAAACGAGATGTTACAGTTTTGAGATATTGAGGGAAACTTCTCAAATGAGAGACTAATTGGAACATTGAATCTAATTAGAATTTCTGGTCAGTCGAGCTTTCAACATAACGGAGGAAAATAATCTCTCTGTGTTCATATACGCGAGCGACGAAAAATGATGCCCAATATTTTCGTATCTGTATAGCATTGGACATTTGTATTCAGGGAGAGTGTATGTATACCGGAGTTAAAAGCTAAAGGACGGTCAGCGTGCTCGATAAGTAAGGAATGCGTTCTCGTTCTCTCTCTCTTTCTCTTTCTCTTTCTCTGATTTCTTCGCCCATCAGGGCGAAGGAGATAGTCGATTTTTGGATGGATGCTGGACCGGGCCTGTGCGCAAGTGGGACAGAGTAGATCTATAGTTATAAGTGGAGCGCTACACGGCGACTATTTTTAGCGCGTCACCTGAGACACCTCGCTTAATTTCGCTGTCCTTAATCAGTCGAGGATCGATGTAACACGCTAGAACGGGGCGCTTTGTTATTTTCTCCGATGAGCTCTTCGTCCCTTTTAAAGGGTTGCTAGAGAGGCACGCGTACTGTACACACCGCCGGGTGTCGCGGATCTAACGCGCGGTTGCTTTTATAAATAAGGGTCTGCGTAAACAATATATTGCATTATTAAATACTGTAGAATATCCAGGAAAGAGATAATCGGCCACGCGCGCTTGTTGTGCAAAAATTGCGATTTGCAATTCGAGCTTGTGACGTTTGTGCGAACGCAAATCACTTGCTTGCAATTTAATCGTGATTAAATTACGCTTCGAATTTCCGTCGTTTTCCGCTGAAAGCGAAGGCAGAATGGCGAATCGCACATCGATACGATACGCGATACGTCGCGGCGTCGTACAATGCGCACTTTTTAGAACTTGCCCGGTCAATGTGTTTGTAGTAAATTTCCATTTTGCTCACGTATTCGCTATGCAAGTACGGCGATTAACATAACAAAGCGATTTCATGAATTCGGCCGGGAGAACGGTTGAATATTCATGCGCGAAAACGAGCAGTTGGACTTTATTGCGAATTTCAGCGATCGCTGGCTAATGTATAATCGCCGTCATAAGTCCATCGCATGGCGAGATAAGCTTCCCCGGGATCATTCAATTAATGAAGGTCATTTAATTATTGACAAAAAATTTTTGCTATCAATCTAATGAAGTTGGAGTCACCGTTTTTATTGATTCCTTTTTTTACTTTGCTTTTTTTGCGAAGCGACGATAAAATGGACAATATCACTGTTGTTTACTATGTTAATAAACCGATTTGAAAGCTTCTCGCATTTTTCATTCGATACAATCGAGGAAGATTCATCATCTTTGACAAAATCGATATTTCTATGTTTCTTTGATCTCGGAAAAAAATACTAATTAAAATTTCATCTGCATTTAAATAACTCAAAGAGAGATTATATCTTACCTTCGTTATGTTTGTACTTTTAAACAAAAAGACTGACTTTTTTAGAAAAGTAATCTTTGCAACAAAATCATCTTTTAAAAATTTACTGAAATAAAATCGAATTTAAATGAAGATATTTGTAATCTTTATTATATATTTTATATTTATATACAGCACTTAAATGATAGAAAATTCGTCATTACGTTATTATACAAATATTCCATTACATTATTAATGTGAGGTAAAAAAGAAAGTTTACCGTAGATAAAAGAAGTTACAGCTTTATTGAAGAAATAAAAAAAGTTGTTTGACCGTGAACATTGTCGCTGTAATTAATTACTTTTTTCCGCAATAATTATCATGGATATTCATGTAAATTCAAGTTTGCTCTTATGCCTAATAGAATTAGTGATTGAAACTAATATGCATGAAACATTAGACAATTATACGTCAGATATAAAATTATTTACATCGCAATAACAATGACAATAATTTATATCGATACTAAATTAGTTGCAAACATTGATTCGTTAAATCAACATTTAATCCTGTCAATTTGGGATCAATAAGACGATTCGTGTTAAATATGCAACACCTGCGAGTCATTGTATGCAAATATATATTTTTTTTTTTGGAAACATGCATGCATGTTATTGCGCGCAAGAAAATTTTCGATTTATTCGGGCTGATTATTATGAGCTTCACTGACAATCAACTTAAAAGTAAGCTGTTATTTATTTATACTTTTGCAGTGAACGTTGAATTCTTTAGTTTGCTCTTCAAAAGTGATGTATAGATTTAATTTTGAGTTTTTAATATAATAGCTATGATAAGTGGTTTTATAAATTCTAATAGATCCAGGGTACACAGAACATATTTCTTTTATGTTAATAAAAATAACGGGTTCTTTCTATACAGGATATATTTATTTTATTTCATTCTTTTCACTTATTACAAGATTTCAGCAACTTCTGTTGCTGGAATTGCGTATACATGGATGTTATATAAATTGGTACGGTCATTAGCGATGGTATCAGCATTTTCCGAAGATACGAAATCGAATTGCAATCGCATCGAAGACGAGGACATCACCGGATATTCCTCTCGATGTGTTACGCTCGTGCGACGCTACTTGCTTGATGACATTGCGTCATATTCGTATATTACGCCACCATTGTCAAGCGCACGCATACAAATCAGCCGTTTGAGAAATCTTCTTTTCCGCAGCAAAACGCTGAAGCAAGACGCTGGCGTTTGCTCGAGTAAACTTTCGATGTAATGTTTTAACTACTGAATATCTTTGGTCGTCGAACAAAGATCAGAGTTTACCGCGCAGGATTTACATTCCATACATTCAGTTAATGTGAATGACGGTCTCAATGTCAGTCCCGTAAAATGATGAAAGCGCGGTGACTTTGCGAAGAGACGCAAGATCCGAACGACCTTTCCGATCGTCAAGTTTTGATAAAATGAGTTATGATTGGGTCTTGAATGGAGATGTTAATGGATGCAAAAGCGATTTTTTTTTTTAAGAGAATTGAGTTCATTAAAATCATATTAAAAAAAAAAAAAAGTTATAATAACAATAAAAAGCTAATCAAAACAGTAAACTGACGATTAATTAAATGCTGATAATAAATTATATTCTGTTTCTTATATTATAGATCTTTAGCTATCGCAAAAACTTGATAAAACATCTCTGTCAAAATATTAACTCCTTAATTAACAACTTCGCTGCCATCACGGAAGAAAAATTAGCTACCGTAGCAAAACTTTCGCTACTCTTGGTAAAAATATTGCTCTCGCAGCAAAAAAATGTTAGTTGCCCATATTTTACGACTCCTTTTTTTCCGTGATGTATCATAGATGATCCACGCTAAATTTTTCTGGCATGCTTATATGCATCACTCAATATTAATGTATTATTTTGCATGGTACCTGAGGAAGCATTATAACACTTTTATGATGACAGCGAAGATGTTAAATATAATTTCAATTATTTCTACTTGTTGAAAGAATCATTGTCTGTAGTATAGGTTGTAGTCAAGTGCATCTTTCTGTTATCTAATTTATTTTCAACATCACAGATCATTAAGATGAAATTTTCCACCCACATTAACGTATAAAAAACTATATGCATGTCGAAACATGTAATAACATATTAAAAGAACAATGAATAATTTTCATTACAGGAGTCTACGCAGGATCGCCCGGCACGACGAGCCGGAGTTTAGCAACGCCAGCATTCTGAACAGCATGGAGAATTTCGTGCGTACCGTGAGCGAGATGGAGGACACCATCCTGGTGCCCAGCCGCCTGCTGGATCTGTCCGTGGGTGACGCGGGCGATACGGTCTGCATGAAGGGCAAGCGCGGTAGCACGGTGAAGGACACCCTGGCCAACACCGACCTGTACCGCCTCTATAACATTATCAATCAGATGAAGATCGAGCTGCTGTGGTCGCAGGAACCCACGCGAGGCAACGTGGCGGACGATCAGACGACGATTAAGAGCCATCCGGTCGGTAGCCCGTCCGCCGAACTGGCGCACCATCATCCGGCGGCTATGACCGGTGGTAGACTCGGCCACGTGCGCTGTCCCAGCACCACGTCGATGCAGAGCGTGCAGAGCGCATCCTCGATCGCCTGGACCTCCGACTCGGACTCCGAGAACGGCATTGAGATCGATAGCGGTCTGGAGGGTGAGGAGTGCGTGGTCGACCTGGCGAGCATCGCTGCCGAAAACTTTAAGCGTCATCTGCGCGGCCTTCACAGCAGCATCGCCCGTATGACGGAGGCGGCCGAATATCTAACGTTACGGTACCAGGCCGACATGGGCGGACAGGTCTGATTCGCCGACGATATCATCGTAATCACCGTCGCTATCGTCACTGTTGCCGCCTGTGCATCATTGATTGTCGTCGCGAACAGATCCCGCATCCTCGCCTTGTAATCGACCTCGTAGACACTTCCGCGACTCCCGGCTTTCTGAGGTTTCGACAGAACTTCAGGATGCGCCGACGGCGAATTGCGAAGGACTTACAATTCGCCGCGATTGAAATACACTGTCCGCGCGCTCAGTTATGTATGATTGCTAAAGTTACGTTTCGGTAATATTGTATTCATGAGATGGACTACGAGACAATAAATTGTCGTCGGATATGTAAAATTCCGCGCAAATAAACTAGTAGTTCTTAAACAGAATTGAGACTATGAGATAAGATATCTCGAGATATGCGTTTTTTTTTTTGGCATAGCATTATGAGGAGATAACGTTTGATTCTGTTCTGCTTTTAATTGTCTTTGCACCAGCAGTTGAATCCAATTGAACAAAATGAGAAGAACCTAAAATCAGGGACGGATGTGATTATACATAACGTAAAACCATTATTTTATTGCGCATGAAGTACATTGTATTTCTAATAATAGGTTTAAATGTATGTGTCAGCTACGGAAGGTATGAGGAAGATGAGCATAAGATGAAAATTTCATATGTGACAGACACATTTAAGCACATGAGTTATGTAGTTTAGACTCATTCTTACCTGCGTCACATCTTAGATTGCATTTTCTGGTACAATTTTCTTTCGATGAAGCATCGCATTGTCAAGAATAATTCTTTACTTTACGCTATTTCTTTTTACTTTTATATTCAAAGAGTTAGAATCAATTTAAAATTAATACAGATTGCGTTTCAGTTCATGCTTCAAAAAAAAAATTTAATTTGAAAATATAGATTTTCTATTGATGCAAAAACTGTTAACAATACGAAAAATGGCTAAAATAATAAAAAAAAAAAAAAACAATCCATAGAATAAAGTTTAGCCTTTTGATGTTTTATGGATATATATATTTATTTATTTAAAAACTATCGTATATAACAAGTCTTGCTCTCTAGATAAATTTAAACGATATATCAACATCTCGAGGATATAAAATACAAAAATACTTGTTAGAGATTTGGACATTTTTAGAAACTATTTATAAATTGTATGGAAAGAAAGATGGAGTCGAAATAGTTTATGTATATACTATTGTTGGGTGTTATTTTATAACATACACAATTTATTGTAACATAAGTCATGACCAGTGGTTTGTAATTAAAGTACCGAATTACCTCTGAATTATTATAAATACTGCTACATCGAAAGAACGAATGCATTTTGGACAGCGGAGTAAGATTGTACAAACTATATGTCTTGGAATTCGTGTATATCTGCGGTAGAAGCTGTCGCGCTAGATCAATCTCGCTGAAGTATCCCTTTTCCGTTAGATTTTCGCTTTCGTGAGCGAATTGTTAATGTTATCGAATTGTATCTTATACCGCGGCGGCGACCGACATTAGTGTGTATATATACATGCTTAGCGCTCTACGATTATTTATTTCTACGTAAAGTTAATAAAAGGTATCGTTTAACTTCTAAGTTGCGCGAGTTGTGAACATACTCGTTCGCGAAAAATCGTTTTTAAGTCGTAGGTAGAAAAGAATGACACACTGGTCGGCGAATGTTTCCATGCCGATAGAATTTTAGAACGGTGTTTGGAACTCTACGTTTGCAGTGTACATAGAGCCGGTGAGATGCTTTCCTGACGCGTCGATATGATTAGAATCCGAATAATTATCAATCTTGCGCATCGGATGTTTAGTTTGCGGTTAAGAATTTTTTGAACTTTTTTAAAGAAAAAATTATAGAGAAAAGCAAAAGAAGAAAAAATCTGGCGAACAAAAGTTGTTACTATTATAATAATTTTCGGACAACACACAAATTATTTCTAATAAATGGTATAATTTTTAAAAGGCTGTATCTTTCTATGCTTAGGTACACTGTACATTTTGCTTCACATTCGTGATTTGTTGAAAATCTTTGTTTGAAACAAGTAACGCAAATTTTCACATTTTATTTTGTGCTTTTCTTTCCGTTGTATATAGTTTATGTAAATATAAAGATGCGTAAAGTAAATTATAGAAATACGGTGCCATATCTGTTGAAACTTGCGTTTCAACATAATCTGCATTTGTGAGCCGCGCAAAATTGTGGAAACCTTAAAGGTCTGATATGAAAACCATGCCTAGACGATGATTCGGATATGTACTGCGCACCTGATTTAAAATTTTTTGAAAGCCGTCTTTTTAATGCATTTTTTATTTCTTTTTGTCGAATATCTTTTAGAAAAATCTCAAAACATTTAAGTTTTTCATGATTATGCAATTGACTCGCTATGCATAGGTGAATTAAGTTAAGAATTAAGTTATGCTAAGGATGACTTTTATATTCATTCCGTATCGTGAGTTACATGCTTTTATGATTCTCTTAAGATATGGTACCTCAGGGGTTTTCAAATAGTAACGCACGTATATATTGGTATACTTGCTATTATTTATACATATCGATGACCTAATTAAAATAATCAAAAGATAGAAATAATTATTTATTCTCCTGCTTAATAGCAAAGAGAATCGTTGCTGCAATGAATGCAAGCTGCGTAAAATAGTTAAACTTCAACGAGTATTTGAGAGTCCCTGAGATCGTGTATAAATTATGATTATTTATGGGTCATAATTAATACACACACGTAGTAACGTAATCGTTAGAATACAAATACCGTGTTGCGGTAATGGTTCGCTCTTCGCGTGGAATCGTGACTAAAAGATTGACGACGCGTTAACTAGATTATTAATAAAGAATATTTGATACTTGAATGCAATTATGCGAAAAAGAACGCACAAGTCCAATCGGAATATAAGCAAATTTTTACTATTGTACCATTACGCGAAATAAGAAATTTAATTATTCATATCAAGGTTCTGAGAAATGTACATAAAAGAGAACTACTCTGTAAACGATTTAATGTTAATGCAAACCTTCTATTTCGAAAAAGTTCTTTTTTGCATAATTAAGTCTGTTGCGAACGATGTAATTGCAGTCCTTGTGTCAGGACATTCGCTACGCAATCAAAATATTGTCGCATACAGTATTTTGTGCTTCCTTCGTTGTTTGCGCTATGATGAAAAATACTTAGAAATTGATTCAGTCGGTCAAATTTTATCGAACTAATGTACGCGTGCGTTCATTATTTTGGTGTCCTTTTAGCTTTACACAAACGTGTAAGTGTTTGCATCATGGAATTAGGTGGAACTGCCTTGATTTTATATTGCGATAAGTATAATGCTGTTAAAAACGCTCAATTTCAGTAAAACACGCAGTCAGCTTTATAGTAGACGATACCGACGATTGAGATGTACGGGAATCTTCGAGATACTTGTACGGTCTTTGTAAAACGTCTGCGTCACTTGAAAATCTTGTAATAGTAATAAATTAATTACTTCCAAAGTCTATTGTCTGATCTGTCTCACACAGCCAAATCCGTAATTAAAAAAGTATATCAATGAAACTATACGCGATTCCCAATCTTCGAAACTTAACAATTAAGTCCTTATAATACATTACCTTTTTTGCAATGTTTATCTCGATAGAAAAAGAAAATCTACTTTTTTAAATTCAAGAAAGAGTTATCCAATCTGTAAAATACTTTCAATCTATCACGATACAATTTTCAGAAAGGTAAAAAATTTAAACATGTTTTACTATAATATATATTTGTGTTAATTATATAGCAAATAATTACTAAATTTGGGTAATTAAATATTAATTTTTCACGTAAGTGTAAGAATTCTAAATTCGTATTATAAAATTATTTATTAATTATTGTACTGAATTAATATGAAAATATATATTATAATAAATCGTAAAATTTTTAATGCTGCGTTGCAAGTGATATTTTATACGTTTGTGGTCGAAAATTTCTATATATTAATATTTTTCAATTATCTCTGTGTGTCCATTGCAATTTTATACACGTTGCTAATCGAGATTACTCTTATTGCTGGATAAATAATTAAGGAATGTGAAAGGTGTAGGTGTAGAAATGTAAGGTGTAGGATGAAATCGGCACACGTGCGCGCCAGCGCGCGTCCTCCTAGCGAAGTATCGCTGCCGGAGCCGGAGTGACAAGCTATCAGCTGCTATCAGCTGTCAGGCGTCAGCCGTAGGACACGGGTGCGCCGGGGGCAAGTACGTGGTAACGGAATAAGGAATAAGAAATAAATTTGAGCGTTCTTGTCACGGCGGTACCACTATATAGGGCTCTATTATTTCGTATCGTTAACGTTACCATGTTGTGCCTCTATCGTATCGCTGTCGGGCGATAAGAAATTTAACATGTATGAACAAGCCGCGAGTAGCTGGGCCGTTGGCCTATACTCCCTGCTCGATCCAACGAAATTCCTGCCGTTTCTCCCGAGTTTATGGGACAAGCAAGCGATCGGCTCGCGTTACCCAAACGACACGAAGGTACGGGAGACCGATGTGCTCGTGGGATATCTCGTTCTATTCTGGGTGATACTGTACTTGGTGTACGAGAAGTGTCTTAACGTGAGTTCAACACGTTTACATTTTGAAATTTATATTTTTTGACGTTTATATCTTGCTTTCTCGTCGTATCCAGTCCCTGTTCAGGCGTATGTGCTTTCCACTGGTCCAACGAAGCAGGATAATCGAGGCTGTGTGGAACTTCGGATTCTGTTTCGGTAGTATATGTTACATGCTGTCATCGGCCATGCAGCTCCTGAGCTTTTCACCTCAAGAGCAGGGAACGACGTATCGGGAATTGGGAGTCGCGCTGCACAAGAGCTTTTACTTTCATCAAGCGGGAATCGACGTACTGTGTCATGGTGCTTGGATAAAGGGCTGTGCAAACTTGCTCTTCGCATCTTTCGTCCTGAATCCATATCAGCAAAAGTAAATCATTCTGCAATTACAACTATTTTGTTATAGACATAACATTTTCCTTCATTTTTTTTATATGGCTTTTATATTTGCGCTTAGTCTTTATTTTTTTCTCTTCTCACAATCAGTCTCATCCTGAAAACTGTTTCAAGTAAATCTTCAAATCTCGATCTTTCATTTAACATTGTTATATTGATAATTGACATTTCTTGCATTATTAATATAATATTTGTGCGATTTTATGGGTATATAAGAATATTATATGTGTATGTTTCACAGTTATAGGTGGTGTACAGTTACGAGTACCTTTCTAATGTATAAAACTATTGACATTGTGATGGTTAATATCTGTCGGATCTTGTTGTGCATTTTTCAAACTGTTGGAAGACCAGTATCTAAGCTGTTATTTCTGTTACACTGCCTGACTTGGTTAGTACATATTATATTCCCGATTTATTTCCAATCAATTTATTATGTGACAAATAATATTCCTTAGGATCTATTTGTACTTGCATTATGTGCCTACATTTGTACTTTGGTCAGAAGAAGTTAAATATGCAAGGACGGAACCTGGTTTGTGGCTTTGGTTTGCGGCAGAATGCTTAGATTCGGTAGGAACAAATGTATACTTACTTATATATTTGTTAATTAAATATAAGTATTACGGACAGTGTTAATTTTTTTGCATTATACAATATGTGTGTATATAAATGCTGTATGTTAATGAAAATATGCAATTAGGTATGGTTAAGACTCATTGGACACGCGAAAGCTACACATTGGCTCGAGATCTGTCTCTTTCCACCGCCAACGCAGGAAGCCATTGAATTGGCTGGTATCCATAAAAGGCACAGAGAATCTTTGAGGAAATGTAATAAAAGAAGAGCAAAGAAAGTCGAATTGTGGCAAACCTTAGTTTGTAAGTTCTACATACTAATTTTTTTATTTAAAATTTGTATTAGATTGTAACCTGAATTGTAACGTGTTATTATGTGAACAGGCGCAATGGCGATTAAAAAGAAAATTAAAAGGATTCGTGAAGCTAAAAGCAATATAGGTGCGTCGACAAAAGATCTTGAGGAACTGGAACCGTTTGAAACGCAAGTAGATGGCGAGTTAGCGGAGAATTAGAAGTTGTACTGAAATATTTGTGAAAAGTAGCATTTGCAGAATTTATACCAACGACAAAAGAGTTTTACGAGTCTTTTTCAAACGAATTTATTGATGAAAGAATAGATTTTATTGTGATGTTCAAAACATCGAATGCGCACGAATTTTTTTTAAGATTGTTTTGCCACATCGATGGCATGCATTATTTTCAACGAGCACTATTCTCTATTGAGATTCGTGTATAGCTATATTTGTACGTAATTATAAATTAGTGACTTAACAAATGAAGCAATTAAAGCTGTGTATTCTGAGAGAGATCAGAATCAGAATCAATGTAAAAAGACTACTGCAATTTTTATAGAAAAATTAAGTTTATTTCATAATTTCGTAGATGTACACCCGCTTATGTAGAAAATTCATCGGCGTTTACGCGTTTATAATTTAGTTTAGGATGTCTCGACAACAGTTAACTGGATAATCCAGTAACGTTACAATCGAGTCGGAGGCGTTTTCTCGGAGCAAATATTTAGGAGTACTGTTGTTAATCGCTTTGTTGATCTATACAAACTCAAAGCACATAAATATTACACTAGTCATAGATGTAAAATACGGTATCGGTTCGTTGAATGGCACACTTATCCAAATTGAATATACGTTCCTTCGTGTGATATAACTGCACATAAATCCTCGAAGTAATAAGTTTGCGTTTGCGAAGCTGTACATATACGATATGTGACGCTATATTGTTAATACGAAGTTATATTATCGTGCAGTTTGCATTTGCATCGATGGACGATGTAGTGACATCGTCACTAATTCGCAGTAACAAATTGATTTTGGGTCACATCATAAATTCGATTACAGTGGCTTTGATACCGGGTACCATATACCATCCTTGTTTATGGCAGTAAATAGGTAATGTGCATTTTTGAGCAACGAAATTGTTATATCGCAGTAATTTTAGGGGCGGCGCTAGAGACGTACTTAACATACAGTCTCGCTCTTAAAATTGGCAGACAAAATCCAGATTTTCTTACAAGTGGAATATTGTTTGGTACTACGTTTTTTTCCCCCTAGAAAGAGAGCCCGTATATCTTTTAAACATCGTATTTTCTAAATATATATGTATGCAGTGTTCTTTTCAATTCTGGATGATGCAGAGATATTGTCCTGTTGTATTTAAACTGTTGATAAATTATTACTGTTGATAAATGTATTATATAAATGAAGACAACGACAATTTATTAGATAAGTTTAATCTTATAGACACACTTACAAAATATCTTGTTATATTGTTTTATATCGTGTGTACGGGTTATTTATATGTTTACGGATGTATAACCACCAGAGAGAGATGCAATTTGCGTTTATTTGCAACTATCACTGCGCTTATTTCGATAAAGTGTAATCGTCATCCTTATTATACGCACGTTCATGACTCAAGCACTGTTTGTTGAACAAAAGATAGGGAAGAAATTCGAGCTAAAGTACTTTTAAACTTCATTTCAATGCTATAACGAATTAACGATTATATATGACCAAACGATTGTATTTAATGCATCGTATTAATGTCATACCGCGACCGCGAAAACAAATCAATAAATGATGGTGCTTGCTGTTACACATTCATCTCTTTCTCTGTCTAAATATTCCGAAAGCACGAAAATTTACGGAGAAACTTTCGTATACCTTGAAGTGATGACTGTGATGAGTAATTTAGAAATGTCAATTAAATTATACGTGTATGTTATTTATCGACAAAATTATTATATTTCGATTCCAAAATGATACATTGTAGGATTAATAAAACTTACAATTTACATCCAGGTAAATTATCTATCTATAATTAAAATTCTTTAATCGCGCGGCGGGACGCGCGCTCTAAAGAGTCTTTTTTTCGTTCTAAATTATATCGAAACGTACAAAGTATCAAACGACGATTTACTACCTCATAATCCATGATTACATGTGACACACTAATAACAAATTATCGCGTTCGTAATACTTATTGTTTCCTTTTTCTCTTTTTGGCAAGAATGGCGGCAGGTCGCCGTGTGTCGAAACGAATTGGAATTCAATGGTATCGGGGTAGGAAGACGACAAAAATCATGGTAGGGAAACACTGTCAAACAATTCTTGTTATCGTATGACGTATATTATATATTCCATCAAATCCGTTTAATAAATGCCCGCCGTGTAGGCTGGTATACGGGATGGTGCCATGCTGGAACAAATGTAATTACGAAAGTTACTCTTATTACAAACATATACATTATGAGCAATAAAAGTTGAGTCCTCTAAACTTCCTCTTTTTTTTTCTCTTAGGCCCAACCCTTTTTCTGCGCCGTGTAATCGATGCAGATATTTAGAATTTCATTTTTCATTTATCTTTAATTTTTTTTTTTTTAAATACGAGAGAACACGCACTTTCGTTCTTTGTGAAAATATGGCCCCATTGTTACAGGCTCGATGTAGTGTTGGGAAATATTCCTCTTATTTTGTTCCTGAGTCTGCAACAGGCTTCGTATGACTTCGTGCCACTTGCATCTTTCGCGTCGCTGTACTTCCTCTTCTCCCCTTTCTTTTACTGGCGATGTACGTATCTCTTGTAAAAGCAATTTAATAATATGTTCGAGATAATAATTTATTGCTTGCCGTGTTCAGGGTATCTTCTATTCTAACGTACTGACAGGGGATAGGGTGATGTTGACATGGATGTCGTCGCGTTTCTACAAACGCAACTGGCACGAAATCGCACTGTGTTAAGATCTTTCTGAATTAATTCTACAGTATATACGTGTTTTATCCTCCATTTTACCTACTATATATTCATTTCTTTTATTAAACTTTATATTTTCCTAGTCGCGAAACAGGCCGCATTTGAATCCGATGATGATAAGTGAGCTCTTCTTATTACTCAAACTTATTTTGTACGTGCAATAAAAATAGTATTAGGTATCTTAAACAATCCATTTTTTTAGGCAATTAACTTGATCAGCAACAGATAAACGTATTTTGATAAAGTTTAGATTTCAAACACATTTTTAAAAAAATAAGATATAAATTGGATTAAACAGAAAATAATTGCATAAATCTAGACGAAGATATACAAACCAATGCAAGGCTGTAAATTCTGTGTCGTAAATATATATCCTCGCTTAGATCTTTTTTAAAACCAGCCAATTTTTATTTCACTTTATAATTGCACGTTTTATCGATTCGCACGATAAGCTCAATTTTCCTTCGATTTAATTCGAGAAATAGGAAGATCTATCTCGCGTTCATCGGATTGTATTACCTACATGTGAACTTCTTACACCGTCCATGTGCTACACGGAATCAGCGTGCAAATGGTTGAGACATATTCTTCGTCGCGTTACTCTTTCCTTTATCACCTTCTGTGCGCGGGAAGCTCATATCTCCCACTGTGGCTCGGGAATTCTTAGTAAGACAACAAAATCAACGCGTGATTACGAATCGCTTTACCCCCTATAGGCCATAATTAATTAACATGTAAGCGTATTTCGCTTATTTCATTATAAACATCAGCAATTTGACAGTTTTTAATAATCGAAAAGGAAGAAATTCGGAAGTGGGACTGCTAAAAAATCAATCTGCTCTCGAATTTTAAAAATTGAGAATTTACAATAAAATAAATTAGCTATTCTAATTGTCTCACATATGGGGTTGCAGAATTTTTTTTAATTAACAAATGTCCTGTGTGTTGCGCGAAACAGAGAAGTGAGGAATACGCATCGCCTTAACCCATTAACTGTCACCGTCCTCATTTGTGAACCAGCGACTCTTTATTTCTTATATCATCAATTGGCCATTAATAATTTTCTTATATCGTCGGTTAAAAATAAAACATAAAAGTCCGACAGTTAGTGGGTCAATAATAATAAGAATTCTCCGTTCGGCAGCGGCGCAAATGCGCAAAGTCGAACGACACGCACTCATGCAAAAGTCGAAGACCTGGCGAGGCTTCAGTCTTTCGGACGTTAATACGTTTCGCTTGTCGCCTGTGTCGATGTAGTAATAGTAGTAATAGGTTGTTATGTATATGTTTGTATACGTGTTTTACGCGCGCGTCATTAATGCAATTAGTAATTGTCCCTCAGAGGGGCGTGACGATGTGTGGCTTGGCAGTGGTGGAGGCGATTTCGGAGAGCCGTACGTCGATGGGGATGCGATCGTCGTACAAGGTCGGCGCCTGCAGGATAATCCCGGCCGTGCCGACGACTACGGCTAACGTAAAGATCCAGAGGAATAGTCTGTCGAGCACCATCGCGACGTACTTCCAATCCTCCTTGACCTACGATCGAGTCGTCGGTGACGATAAGAAATGTAAAGCATTGCATTGTTTTCTACAGTTACGCGAAGCGGCAGATTTATGCGGACACGCGGAAAAAAGATTCTATTGAGAATTGCAATAAAATTGCCGCTATTCCGAAATGTATTAAAATGTCCTGACATTTTAGGGCTGAAATTACCATATTTTTATTCGAAAATATTACCCACGTTTCATATTTTACAAAAAGATGCAGTTATTTGAATATTTTAATTTGAAACAATTTGAACCGATTTAATTTCGCTAAAGTGAAAAACTTGACTTTTGACTTGATTTAAACTTCAATCACATCTTGATCAAAACTTGATTTAACAAATCAATGTTTGTTAAATAAAAAATATATGATAAAAGCCTAAAGGATATCTGAACATCGTAAAAAGATCCAGAAAATTGATAAATTTTGGATTTCTTTGGATTTCCTAATTTTTCTTAGACATCTTATAAAGATCTTCTGGATAGTGTATGTTACATTTTGTATATCTCGGAATGCTGCATTGTTATCTCAATTGTGCAAAAACATAATTACTCTAGTAGAATCCTCTTCTCTCTTCGTATGATCGGCGATGAAGCGAATGCCTTCTATGGCCTTGTATAGTTCTGGGCAGTGATGCCAATGGTGAAGCGTGTTGCAGAGAGCGTCGACGCTCTCCTCTGTTGGAAGCTGCGGCGGCGGCGCGGCCGTTGCCGCTGGCGAACCGTGGATACGGCACGTGCTTCCTAAATTTACTGCTTCCAACTCCCTAAGCAGACAATGCATAAGTCGCAAAACAAGAGATAACCACGGATATATATAGATATATATATAGTCTAGAAATTAAAAAAAATAAATTGAGGAAATATAAGACGTTGCGCAAAAACATCCAGATAGAAATTTCAGGACAATTAAAAGTAATTAATTATACAACAAATGAAAATGAGAATATATTTATTATGCTAACGTCATTTTGATATTTTGAATTTTTTGAGATTTAATTTTTTATATTTACTATTATACTATTTCTAGTACTGATTTCTCACAAAATATGTCAGTAAAATCATTCATGTGTTGTAAATATTAAGCTTATATTCAAGAATTTTATATCACCGACACAATTACTTGTACAATAACTCAAATTTTGCAAAATCTATGGCTTCAGTTTTGTGTATAATCTTTATCTAACTTGTAAGATATGTTTTATCAGGTGTATCAAAACGTACAATAAAATGATGCGATATATAATGCGTATCATATGTAAAGCTCGTGAAATTATAATAATTAAATAAATTACACATTATATTTTAAACCATATAATACACCAAATAATACATATGTATTATTTGGAGCGTTCCAAGAGTAATCTTGGCGACACGCACCGAGGATGCAGCTCGTCCCGTGAGTCGACACTAGGAAAGAGCACGGAGGACTCGACCAGCTCCGAGGCCGAGGACTCGACGAACAGTGATGGGTCTCGCAGTTCGAGACCGTTGCATGTTCTGACCATCACGCGATGACCATGATGCCCGCCCATGCTACGCCCATGCTTATCTAGCTGGTACTGCGGCCTAAAGTGGTAAAAACACAATATAGTTTATCCGAGTTATCCGACATGGAGACTCAATTTTGTCTCCCCAATCCGATTCCGGAACTATGAAAGCACGTCCGCGAACACGCTGAGATTCGTGCGATCGTATGTAATATCTTGCACACTTTAAAAATTCCCGTCACATTATTTATTTAAATTTGTAATACATTCTTAGCACGTACACTTTGCTTGGTTCGTCATCCCTTTTTATCTTCTTTGTTTTCAATTTTTCGATCCTTGATCTATTATTATTTTTAAAAATTCCTGATAGTCAGAGATTGACTAGTTACTACGATCGCACGAATGATTTTTTTTTTATCCATAGTTCCGAAGCCGACGTTCTTCTACGAGTAACTGAAGAACTAATATTATAGAATCCACTGATTGCCCGTATTATAATGGCTTTAAGCTTGGTGTGCAGCAATGAATAATTTATTGCTCCGTAAAGTCAGCTGGTTTACGATACTCGTACCGTACTGTAACGAGATCGTGACTACACATGCTCCTAACTTTTAGTTTGGCATAGTTGCGGGTGTTTCGAGATGTATGTATATTCGAGTAATGCATATATATTCGAATGATGAGGAGCGTTTGCAAATTCGATGTAAAGTTAGTGTGTGGCTATGCGATAATGCCCAATTTGACGCATCAACAAAGCATTATTGCGTTCAATATTGCGCGTTGTACAAGTATGTAACGTATAATGGCGTCGCGCGGCGTAAAAAAATGTTACGCATCATAAAATAAAATTCCTGAATAAAAGTGCACATTTATCGAACATTATCGACGTTCAATTTCGCCACTTTTGTGCCATCAGAAAAAGCTTTAACCTAATTCTAGATTCTAGATAGTTTAATTTTATAATGATATGAATTTAAAAGTAATACTCTACATACTCTTTTCACAGAGATGCGGCATTTAAATGTAGTACAGTTTTTTATGCGCGATCTCTGGTGAAAAATAAAATGATCGTCCCGATCGTCGAGTCGAGCGCGAGAATGTCAAGCGACGTCTCGCCGGGAATCAGGAAATTTTATTTGTATGACAAATAAATATACATAGCGGGAAGAGATGCGACTAACGATAGGCGGACACATCACTCACGATGCAGCGCGATGCAGAAGTGATGCACCGTACGTGGTGCTAAATGCTTGCAGGTATGACGCGACACTAACGTCACGTGCACGGGAAACACTATAATGAGTGCTCTAATGCTCGCTCTGGCGTGGTTCCAATGACCGGGCCACAAATGCCAGAAGAATATATCTTGCCTGGAATCGTAATCGGTTCGCTGCGATGGCGTATTATACCTGCGCATTACCAGCAGCCTCGGCAGAACGTGGATGAACACGCGTCGGACCCACGGCGACATTACGTGGGTCTGCGGCGAACGGAAGTGCACATTCAGGACCACCACTGTTACGCATATGCTGCAATGCACGAAAGAAAGATGCCAGGAGATGCAAAAAGATATGCGGACCGCGATAGTTATTCCGGTAATTGTACTAGCTTTAAATTAAAGTGGCACATGTTTTTCGACAGACGGAATAATAAAACATCAGGAATAGCACATTGGCGAAAGACCAGCGTTAAAAAAAATCTGAGTTTTATTCGATTAGTATTAAAGCGAATGTGCCATTTAACTTAAAATTAACGTTCGATGTACGCACTTATTACAAGTGTCTTCTGCATTCGCGACTATTTTTGTTTACCGTACCTGAAGGTGTCGAGGATCATAGTGAAGAGGACGAATTTACCAAGAAGCGGTACCACGAGCGACGTAGGCGGGATAATCTCGGCCAGCAAGAGGAAGAACACAGTCAGTGACAATAGAATCGAGATGGACAAGCTGACCTACGGCAGAAACGAGAGAAAAAAAGTCTTAACCTTGCGATACATTATTTAAATCGCGAAAACGCGACAAGAATGTGCTACGAGAATGATGCAGAGATATAAATTATACTCTCTTGGGTATGTTCCTGAATATTAAATTAGATTACACATACACACACACACACACACATATAAACTGATGTAAAATAATCTAAATTTTTATTTTATTCTTGATTTCTTAGATATAAGTCTCTCAGAAACCAAACTAATTAATAAGTAAAATAAGTCAGTGAAATAAAACCAAACTAATTAACTTCACTTTTTATAAATGATTTTGGTATCGGACTCAATAAATTAATTTACAACTTTATCAATTTTTTCTTTACTTTTTATTCCATAAAGTTGATCAGTTTAGCTTCTAAGAAGCTCATGTATTATTCCGAATACCTATAAATGATTTTGAGAGCCCAAAGTCTTATTTCTTTTATTTATAAACGATTATATAATTGTATTGCAATTGCAATGTTTCGAATTGCTTTATTTGTAACGTTAGAAAGAAGATTTACAAGTTAATAATTTCATCGAAAATTAATACCTTGAGAATATTGCGTTAGGAGGGAAACAAGGTTAAACCGTTTTAAAGCGTAATTTTAATTTTATCACTATGTTTCTATTTCTTTTCATAATGTACGGAACGAGCTTTCGACCGCAAATTTATACGGCTACAAACGCACACGAGTTACACCTTAAAAGTGCATCGGGACCGATTGGAAAGGGGTTTGTCTCTCAGTCCTCTCGCAATTGATTCTGCCGAGCACGTTGCAAGACGCATTACAGCCGCTTCACCCGAGTCCTCTTTCTTTCCCCGTAGTTTCTCTCGTTACGTATTCTCGCCGATTGCTAAACGACCGGCACCCTGACGTTTGACCTTCCTTCCCTTTTTTCTTGCTTGCTTATCCGCCGTGGAGAACAACTCGGTACACCTTTCGCGGTGACAAAGTGGAAAAATAGGTCTGAATTATGTAGCCGGTAAGTGGATATTGGTGCTCGAGGTCGAGTGTACCTTACGGACTTACGACACGCTTAAAGATGTAACATCGACGCGAAAAGGTCGTCTCGGATTAAATCGTAATTGGCCGCGCTAGCTGTGCCATATTCCAATATTCCGATCTAATCGAGCCAAATCTTTGCGACTGCAAAATTAATTTCCAACTACGACGCTGAAACAAAGTCCCCGAAGGTGTATAAACGCGATATCGAGACAATAAGGTCGATCGTGAATAAAATTGTAGTGGCGCGCGAACTATACCGTTCTATTCTGATAAGGTCGGTCGCGAGTTATTTCGATTTAATGGAGGATTAATCTCTCTGCTTTGCGTCCCTAAGAAATATCTAAAAGTCTTTAAACACATAATATATTGAGAAAAAATCGAATGTATTAAACTACGGAGTAAGTTTTATCTTGATCTAATCTAATCACGAATTGTATCATTCTAATCTTATCTAATCGAATAAAATCTTTGCGCTTTAAAAATTATTTTTTGTCCCTGACTAATTTTTATCTGTGATTAAATATCTAAACTTCTTTAAAAACACACACACTTGTAATATTTGCGAAGAGATTAAATATATCAGGCTGCAATAGCGCAATTTTATATTTTCTCATTTAATCTAATCGTAAACTAATCATGTTATTATAATTCAATTCAAATTTTAATTTTTTTCCGTTGTCAAATTCTGTTACATAACATATCGACAGAAAATTAAATTTCTAATAAAAAAAAACTTTGAATTTTTAATTAATCGCTTACTAGATTAAAGTTTCAATCTGACTTAATTTGATAAAATTTTCGAGTATATATATGAAGATTCACTTCTAATTATTCTCCTAAAATATTCAGAAGTATATAAAAACGAAACTCAAACGATTACATTCTATTTTCTATATTTTTTACTCTGATTTAATCTACAAAACATAAAAGTCTTGCGTTTCCAAAACTATATTTAGCCTCGTTTCTGGAATAAATGTCTAATTTCTATGAAATTTTAGGCCTGAAGGAATAAGACGAACAATTTTCTCAATACAAAAAAAAGATGAAATAAATATTATATACCTAAGGCGTATTACTGGATCACACAGCACATAAAATAAAATGAAAAAAATATGAATTAATTACCTTCTCTCCACTGTCGCTTGGCAAGTAAAACACCAACACCGTGAGGAATGATATCCCCATGCAGGGTATTATGAGGTTAACGGTGTAGAATAGAGTCTTCCGTCTCATGGTGATGTTGAAAGTGATGTCGAGGTAAGGCTCGTCACAACACGTGTAAAACTTTTCGTTTCTGCAATTTGCACATTCACGTACTTCGCTCAACGATCGATTATAATAGTATTAAAAGCGTCTCATGCATATTTTCGCAACCTTCCTTCGATTCGAAATAAAAATTGAAGTTATCTACATTAATGCTGATTATTAATAAAGTTATTATTAATGCTTAATTAAATCGCTCGAAGTACGGGAAAAGTCAGTCTACGTCGTCATAAATATCTTTCCAATTTGTTAAATGAAATCGTTGGATTCGCAGAAAACCATTCCGTATAGGAAACCAAACACAAATTATTGATCTGAGAGAGGTTTACAAAATTATTAAAGCGTGTATATGTACCTCACAGCAGGGACTTCTAGTATATCCCACTCGACGGAAGTATAAAACTCCGACAGATCGACGCCGATGTCGACGACATTGCTGCCTCGGACCTCGTCGATGTGTCTAAGATCGACCTTAACAGTAAATTACTAAATTTTACAATGCATTGTTGATATCGCGCTGCTTAACGTCCAATCAATCGATACTTATGCCCGATCTTTTTCTATATCATCATGAGAAAGTCCACACGTACTATATCAACGAAATATTTAAAGTTAAATCAGAACAACTAATTACAATCTGTAAAAGCCTTAGCATAAGCAGAGATAGATTGTATTATTATATTATATAAAACGAGAGCGCGTGCTCTTCAAACATTAAATACCTAATAATTAGGTCAGTCAATTCGTCTCACCTTTCATCTCTTTTAGTTCAAGTTCAATTCCGTCCAGCCGCCATTTATACTCGATTGCACTTCTAACAAGCGACATTTTACTCGAGAAAATAAGATAACAAGCTATATATACGATCTTTCACCGCGCGGTGTCTAACGACCGGGGACAATAATACTCCTCTCGTCGTAACATGCCACGAAAGTCGCTCTCAGAATATTTATGATTGCTCTAACAAGAGCCTTGCGAGATCTTCCTGTTACATCAACAGGAATTGAATTCTTTGAGTCCTCGAGATGGATTACATTCGTTATCTAGGAATAACGCATCTCGCAAAAGGAAAAGTTCTAATTATTTCAGACTTTCGATTCGTGAAGAAGAAAAATGATTGGAGAAATATGATATATATAAATATCCTTGGCAGCTGTACACTTCTACGTACAATACAATGTCTTTCTATATATGTATATGTTTGTCTTTTTACGTATGTAATTGTCAACTCTCTTTTTAACTCACGAATAGAGGCAAATGGCTTTCCTGCGACTATTAAATCGATCGGTCACGTGTTTGGAGAAGGAAACGTTAGAGGAAAGTTTCCGAAACATCCGCGAGATAAGTATAGGCGATTCTCACCTGGAAGCCGTCGTAAGTCCACGAGCCGAATTTCATCACGCACGTCTGCTCGTCGAAGGGAAAATATTCGACGTCGATCTCGCAGGAAGACTTATAAATCGCCGGCGGCTTCCATTCGACCCTACCCGTGTAGTTGAGGGTCGCCTTCGTCGCCAGCGTCACCTCGAAGTTACCGTCGGCGCTGTGTTAAACGTAAATTCTTTTATATTCCCATATTTCGCGGAAGAAAATAATCTCACTAAAAAAATATACAAGTAATTGAGTCCAAATTATGTTTTGTTTGAAAGCCTATCATTCCGGTACAGAGTAACATATAATAACTTTTTTTACGGGTTTGCGGTATATGTTGTACAAAAAATATTGGGATCAAATTGATATCGAAAGACGTCAAATTGATATCTAAACTATAGATAAAAGAAGGTAATATGAACGTCCATAGGTATACAACAATGCTTTATCAAAGAATTATAAGAGATCAATGATTCAGGGGCGAAACTGTTCTCATGAGTTTCATAACCCCTCCTGACCTTTTTTATTTATTCAACGTTGTACTGTCTTTTAACCCTAAATAAATATAAAGAATACAGATTCTTGTGATCCTGAATAAATAAAACGGTACAGAGATCAAGATAACTATAAATATAAATGACAATTATTTTTCTGAGGCAACGAGTCGTTTAGCAGTTGTATAAGAATAGTTTTACCATTGAATCATTGATAAGTCTTTACTAAAGCATTTTTAGACATGGTTGCACAGAAATTTTTACAATCTACTTAACAAATTTAACATACTCTATTTTAGTCTCAATCTTTTTGAACATTTTGTATAATTTGTCACTCAACATACATTTTATTCTTCAGAAGACAGCTGATTTATTTTTGAAAAAATAAGTTCTACTATACTTAATAATTTTAATCTTCAATGTTTCTTAATAAACATATAAAAAGTTTTTTATCTTAAAGTGATGAGAATAATTGCCCCACGTGCTTTTATCTGACACATTTTATATTGTAAGCGCGAGATTACCGCGTCTTTTAATCAGTAATTTATTCAAATCAATAATATTTTAACACTAACGGTGTGTGTATATTAAAAAAAAAGAACGGAAAGATGGCAAATCTAATCGTCGTTAACGATCAATCTTACTTGTTGTATAAAACTATATCGGGCCTCCATATGTGATCTGACGGCACATGCAGCATTTCCACTCCACCGTACTCCTTCGGATCCCATTTTAATTTGTAATCATACCATGCCTGCGAACACAGAATCGACGTAACGTTATCGTATATACTACCCTTCTTGTCATTTTGTCACTTTTGCTTATCATGTTGCTTTACGTTTTTCGAGGGATTAGGCCACTGTAGAAATTTGAAAAATAACGTATTCTTTTGTCGCGTTTTCTTAATAGAATCTCGAATACAATCTTTTTCCTATTACTGGCGTTCTTCTCCAAACTGAATGCAATTCGCAACACACAGCATCGTCACTGTCGGAGTTTGCGAGCGTATTTTTCGAGAGCAGTGTATTATCGTTGCCACAATTCCGGATAAACTCCCGAAATGTTGCGCCCGAAATGTCGATCATTCGTGATACGTGATATTCTCGTTTCTAATCGAAGTAAATATTTAAGATAAATAAATAATCGAGATAAATACGAACAATCACATGCTGTCACGTTCGTCAAATTTAGCACATGCTAGAACATTTTAGCAATAATTATATAGTCGTAGTTACGGATATAAATTGGTCTAGCACACTACTATACCAAACTGTTCATGTAATAATTTTCTTACTTTCCTAAAAAAACTTATGAAATTTTTAGTTTAAATATTTCGAATTATTAATAGAAATTGAAAAACGTTTTTAACAAAGATGAGAATGCAATGAATAAACTGCACTATTGCAAAATTTCGAATTGTTTGTTGGTCCTTTTTTTGCACTTTCAATATATTACATACAAAAACCGCATTTCATTCGTCTTGTCTATTGTGCGAATTTTCAATAGATTAACGGTCGTATATAACTGGGATAATGATGTCCGTCAAAAATAACGTCTTTCATAATGTCTGTTACTTTAATGCTCGAGTCTAATGCGGAAATGCGGAAATCTTGGAACAAGAATAACTGATAACAATAATAATTATATCCATGAACCAATACGTTCATACGTGAGGTCTTGATGGACTTTTTCTTCAGTTATTTATTCGTTGATCAGGAAATCGCGCTGGTCATCTTCTCCGACGCAGTATTGATTGCTCTGCTTTTGATTGAACGCAGATGAAATAGAATCGATTCTACGATTTCCATCTTGGAGCGAATGTAATTATTATATGTTCCTCTGTTAGTGATTGGTATACATTAGATATTGCAATTAGAAAGTCAGTTATTAGATTAATTGATGCAATTAGATTGATAAGTAACGTTTTCCTCAAAACTGTTTCAAATTTACAAAATGGTATGAATGGTGTCCCTGATAATTAAAACAATTCTTTCAGATTCATTACGCATATTCTCAGATACACATTCTCTACCTAAATGTAACGGTTTTTTCGATAAAATTTAGTCTTTTTTTGACGAGATAATATGGTCATCTTTTTCTTTTGTTTTAACAACTTGTGAAAAGTCCCACAAGTTAAAAGCATGCTATTTTGTTATTTCAACAAATCTCAATTTTTTCTATAAGTAAACAACAAATAGCTCAATGTAAAAAATAAGAAAAAATTTTGACTTTTTAATTTTCCAGATTATTAGTCTAAGCTCAATTAAAGCCACTATTTCATTATTTTCTAAAAATGTCATTTACACAAGATAGGTAAGTAACTTTGATATTTTTCATTTTGCTCTATAAAATATTATAATAATTATAATTAATAATATACATTTTTAATAATAGAATATGCAAATGCTCACATTTCTTTCTTTCTAATTCAAAAAGAGCATCTTCAAATTAGTCTATTTTTTCGACTCTTTACAGTGGCCTAATCTCTTAAATTGACAAGTACAACTTGACATTATGTCATGCTATTATTATTATAACTTTGCGTTGCGTAGGAAGTGATGTAGTTTTTCGAACAAAACTTTTCTTTCATATTATATTCTCTTTTTCGTTCCCGTCGGGAACAAACTCATATTTTTGCATGCCAGAACAATGTCGTAAATATCGATGATTGAATAAATCATTGTGAAAAATCGTCGTTCGGAATAGAAAGGAAATGATGTATTATCGCATTGAACAAAATACCATAAAACTATTCGCGTGTTTTATGTTTCTTCGTTGCACATGAACGCGGTGCACACACTTTTCGCCGCGAGTATTCCATGAATTTATCTATCGCTAATTCATGGATTTAAAATTGGTCTAGCGACAAAGGATCGGGAGATGACGCTGAAGCTACTTCACGGGGACAAACCGTGCACAGAGGCAATATTTTGCAACTTTCCTCATTGAGAGTTGTAAGGCTGAAACGCGCAGATTTGCATGCGGTGCAACGAACTTCTTCTTCTTCTTGTTCATTCATTCATTCTCGCTTAAAATTGCGCGTTTTATTGAAAAATTTCTATGCCGGTGATCTATTCGATTCCATAAATAATACGAAGCTTGTGTTTTTCTCTCAGAATTTCGTAATAAGACTAAAAAATGTGTAGGATTAATATTGTATAGTGACGCACTGCGTATTCAGGAATAAGTAATCTTTGTCGACGATATTCAACTTTTATAAAGAATATCTTAAGATAAATGGATCAAAACTTTTGCAGTGAATTTTTGAAGATAAATTTGAAGTCAATTTTTTCTCGATAAAAGTGCTGAGATAGTCATCGCTCTTGGAAGTTTTTAAAATTACAATATCTTACATTTCTGCAATTATGCTTTAAATTAAAATCCTGTTAAAATAAATAATCCATTCAATGTAATATTGCTCTTAACTTTTTTTACAAATAACAAAGATTATTTAAACAAGAATTCTATTTTCAACCAATTATTCAAAAACTATCGGCGTCTTTTTGTTGAAAGATATTTTCTGAAAGAATTTAAGAAACCAATGAATATCTTTTACATTTATTGCGGTCGCTTTGTAAAATTTCTGAGTAAACTAATTAAACGTAAAAGCTAAATTAACCTTAATAAATACACGATTGCTTTGATTACTTGATTACTATCAATTTTCTACTTATGTCAACGGAACGTCCAAGAACGATGGAGCGCCGGAAATGCGCTTCCTTCGGGCGTGGACACAACCTTTATGCGTGGGGGCATGTTGAATATTAGCTCGAAGCCGAAGTCTCTCTTCGTTTACGCATCGCTATATTTGCCAGATAGAATATTATGCCGGCATACAGTTGAACATGACTATATTCTGCGAAATTTGGCCGTGTTTAACCGAACCAAAGGTAACGGTTAGTTAAATAGCGAGCGGTGCGCACTCTGCGAGGTAATTTATTAAATATTCATCGCGAAATAGCGTAATCCACATAATCCATTTGCTACTCCGACACGCTTTAAAGCAGGGAATTAAATTTAACCACAGAATGGATCAAATGTTTGTTCGCAATATGTTAAATTTTCTATTGATCCTCCATTGGACTCTAACGCGTCATTTTTTCGTAGTAATTAAATGTATGCGCATAATTGCGATTTCGATTTTACGTAGTAATTAAATGTATGTTAATTGCGATTCTGATTTTAATGCAATTAAAATATATATACTGTAACAAACATGGCACGATAAGTTTTATTAAATTTACCACCGCAGATCAGTGAGGATGAGGTTGCCACAAGTCAATAATATATTACAGAAATTACAATTATTACAAAGTTTAATTTAAAAAGTTTAATTTGAAAAATCGCCGCCAGACAATTTATTCACAACGCGGATATTTTCGGCCAACTTGCTACCAACAATACGATCCGATTAATCCCGTCGATGATCGCGGCGAAATTAACATTTTCATACGCAAACTTTGCGATAACATTGATGCGTGATGCAGTGGACATCCCGAACTTTCGGGTGGCATGACGCTCGTCCGTAACTCTCCGAACTATGTATGCGCGAGCATTGACGACGATATGTCTGGTTTACCGTGTAACATTAATATTTGGTCATGGTGTCTTTTCATATTATACCAACGGGATTTCCACGAACGACACGAATAATGAACTGATAGAAATTGCCAAATATAGAGATACGTGGATTCCCAATTTGTGAAATTTAATCATCTATATATGTATAGAATTTAGTTTTATCAATAAAACAAAGATCGACGAACATAATTATGCTACTTCTTTCCTTCCTAATTTAATTTTAATTTATTTTTAACAATTTGCGAACAAAGACTTAATAATGAAACGAATGAGACATGTAAGTGCTAATGCATATGTGCAATTCATGAGGACCTGAAATAAAGTCAGGATAAATCAAAATTTGTAATAAAATTGGAGCGTTTCAATCTCAATACTTTGATATAAATTTCAATTTATTCTGATTTGATTTCTATTACCGACCTCGCCAACCATTCCATTTTATTTTTTGATTGTTTGCAACGATGGAATAACAATAATTAAAACTTTATATGTACAAATATCTGACAAGAGAAATACGATAATAAAATCTACAATGCGCGTACAAAAAAGTTATGCAGACGAAGTCAAGAAATAAATCCCGACGTACCGAGAAAAAAATACAATTTCTTTAAAGATACTACAACCGGAGGAATCAATATATAACGATATTATAAAACACATATAAATGTATTTTTATTCTCGTTGATCTCACAACAAGAGCCTTAAGTGTGTTTAGAAGATTTATCAAGCAACACCCTGTAATCGTGTTATGAGGTATCTGCTTCTTAATGGCCCGATTTTCCGTCGCGAGTCGCGCGTATTTATTGCACGAATCTATTTCGTGCCCGCTATATATCCTAGAAATCGGAAAAACGGTCGCGCACATGGGGCGAATCTATCTATCTTACGTAATCCAGCATTTGAAAGTGGGTTGCACGGTTCACCGGAGTTATTTTCTGGCTTCTCCGGGCGGAAGCTTCTGTCCGATCTTCGTTTCTGCATGCGTACGAAAATCCGCGCGCGCGCGCGCGCCTGCATATGTAGACACGTGCTAAAACGTGTCATCGACAGGCCGAACATTTACTTTCCACGTGGACGACGGCCAACAATGCAAGTTTCAGCGGACCTCGAAGCGGCCTTACGTAATCGGAAATTGTTACGATTCGTTACGAATGTTACTCTAACATCGTTCAGTATTACTTAATAAATATCTCATTAAAAATTCCCTGATTTACCTCTTCTTTAATTCCTACGTTACGTAATCTTTTAGGATATATTACCTGCTCGACCCAGAGGTTCGTCGTCATGATCTGATTCTTCAAATTCTGCAAGAGAATAATTTTGTGAGAATACATCGCTTTCCCCCCTGCTCTGAAAATATATCGCAACATTCCTTTATGAGCTAATTTATCTCAAGCTCTTCCGAGATGATTAAAAAACGGACTCTGTATATGTACGCGTCAACGGGATCTGCTATAACAATTTTTATCATTACGGAATATAAAGTACGCGTTAAAATTCGCCTTCGGATAATGGCATTAACAATAGTTAGCTTCAAAATTTGACATCAAAATATTAACGTACAAAAATATCTAATATTAATATTTGAATCCGTAATTTTTGTTTGCTTGGTTTTCACATTGTTGTATACGAGCAGTATGATCGTGAGAATACAATTGCTTACCACATCGATGAGCTGCGAAAGCTTGAGCTTTATTTTAACGGTGAGGGCGTCTGTGACGTTGACCACTGGACGAACCAGCTTGTTGTAATTCGACAAGAGATCGTCGTATAATCGCTTCGCGTCTGGATTTCCTGAGCATCCTGGAAATACAGGAGAAACGTGTCCTAAAATCGTCGCCCAAATGGGAAACTTATCGCACTAAACTAAATTTCCACACGTTACAATGCTTATTGTCTTTATAGGTATAGCGGTAGGCTTAAAGTTAGATTAACAGCAAACTGAATCGAAATGTATGTAATGTCAAACTTATGTACACTATGTCATACAATGATATATCATTGTATAAATTATTACTATATAAGTCCGAAAATAATTTACTTTTATTTTACGAATTAATTTAAATGGATTTTCCATTTACGATCTATTGTAGCTTCATTGTATTTTTTTTTCACTTTAATATGACTTTTCGTTACTTCTACGAGATTTAGGACTAATATCGCGATTCGGACGATAGTCGATAAACGAAGCGAAAACAAAGGAATCCGAAAGGACACGATGAGAAGAGGAAAAGCGGGAAATATTTCGCTCCGAGGGCAGATATCAAAGGAAGGGAGACAACCGTGGATAGTTTGCTCACGTAACAGGACAGCTCGGTAATTCCGCTTCGTAGTTTTCCCATTATCCGTGCCCGTGTGAGCGTGCCGTGTATATTTCGCTTTGCGCATATTTAACCCTTTGCCGTACGGCAGCGCATAAAGTGTTGCCGTCATTATAAAGACCAACACATAGGCTGGAATATACGATACGAACCCAGATATACCAGCCGTCGTCCGAATCGTTCTCCACTTATTTGCAATTTCAAAGTAAAACGTTGAGCCCCTGAATCTGCGTGCAACGCTGCGAATCACCATTAATATTGGAGTCACAAAGCGCGGCCTGAGATGTACATTTCGCTAATTGTAAGTATCCCGATAACGCAGAATGTATGTGTGTGTGAATGGATAAATGTGCCGGAAGAATATTGTTATATAAATTCTTTTTAATGTTCAATTCTTTCGCGTCTCAAAAGTTTGCGATATTTTATCTCTCATTATATGAGAACACATTCAAGAGGCTAGAGATAACTGAATATTTTTCAATACAATATAATGTCCAATCTTCAATCTGTATTGAAATATTATCGGAAATTGCATTGTTATAATAATTGTAAGATTAACGAGACAAAAAAGTAACATAATTCTCCGCCATTATAAATTTTTTCACATCATCTATCAAATCACTGACTTACGGTACAGAATGTATTTGTTATACTGCAAATTCTGTAATTTATCCATCTGCGTTGATTGAGGAAATTTCATTTCTTCAACGACGAATTAGCGCTGGATATGTAGAGACGACAAACACTTCCGCTCGTACGACGAGACGTGAATACTTGTCGATATTTCGTCATTACGATAGAGTCGCCGACGGATTCGGCTCGCCCGCCGTTATATTATTTATTCCGTTCGCGCGTCGTTTTATTACCGTTTTACGAGCTCCCAACCATCCCGTTCCTAACGCGTGACGTAACGTCGCCAGTAATTTTAATTTTGAAACTGAGCCAGGGGGGGTCCTTCCGGCTGCGTATATTGAAAGACAGTCCCGGGAAATTGGATTCAAGACTAGCCGGAAAGATCATAGCCGCGAGACGAAGGACTAAAGTTGCCTGCGAGAAAAAATGTCAATAATGATGGGACCCGATATATTCCGTGTTTAGTCTAATTTAATCCCTGACATATCAGAGTAATCTTGAAATACTAGTATCAACGATACGCTAAAATTTATATACGTGTATTGAAAATGTTACAACATGTAATTGGCAAAGACCCTACGATAAAACTTTTATTATACGGAGTGTTGTCCTTTTATAGTGATTTAACTTTCACGGTATTAAAATTTTGCGCAAAATATCTGCTAACGCGATGAAAAATTGTTTCCGACTTATACACATTTATGTATTTACAATTTATTGATTTCATACATTTCTGTGATTTAATACATTTTAATGGCATATAGATACATGTCGTGCGTACATTTTACTCGATTTTATAATAGTATTTTACAATATACTAAACCGTACAAATATTTCGAAGATGTTATCGATAATTGAGCACAAAAAATTTATCTAATCTGAATTACAATTAATATAAATACTAACAAGTAACAAGGAAAAAGTGAATTTTGTGAGTGAAATGCGATTAGTTGTGCGTGAATTAACGTTACATTTAATTAACAATTTAATACAAAGTTATAAATCATATATTTCAGCTCTATTTTGACGTCAGCAAAGTGGTAACAGATAAATTAAATAATTTTGCTCTCTCTGACTCGCACTCTTTGAGCATCTTAAGATTGATTGGACACAAAGACAATGTAATTTTTTGCTGACAAACCTTGAATCAAAGTTGTCACTTTTTCCTTGTTGTTAAATTTAATGTCTTTAGTTAATTATGTCAATGTCTTTCAATTTCAAAAGTCTTTAAATTATTATCCATGTATTTTAATATAAATACAATATTACTTATTTATATCACGATTCACGACTATTATCTGACAATTGTACATATAACTATTCGAAACGGTAGTTAATTCTCCAAACGGGGTGGCATTTGAAGGTCTGGTTTTGTAATCGCGTCGCGTTTGCTCCGTTCAGCTGTACTGTTCGCGCACGTTTTTCCCAGTAAAAAAAAAACAGAGAAACGAAACGACGATGTTACGACCGTCTCGTGAGAGTACACTCCACTTGCATAGGTGCGCAAGAACAACGCGGAGAAATGCAATCGTAAACGCAGACGACCTGTGTATGTCCATACTCGCAAACCGCGGTAATGTACGCATCTCGTAGACCTGCACAGATGTATGCACGACAATGCGTATTCGCGTATAACGACGTGCGCGTTCGTGTGGATTATAACGCCGTCGGGCTCGCAAACACACTCGCGGGACATGGAAAACGCTTTACGAGCCTCAAGTAGATTTTGCGATCACGCGCACAGTCGTTATTCGCCTATATGTATGCAGAAATAACATTCACCTATATGCATTTTGCATTTTCGTGCGTGTTTTTTTTGCCGCAAAATAGGGGAGAAATATCCGCCAAAAAAGATGTTCTTTTTTTTATTATTAGAACATTTTTATTTATTAGGAAAGGAAAACCTGGCTTGTAAATTACCCGACACTATCTATTAATTTTGTAATCTATTTAACTATTTCATGTGCAGTACGACATGTATGTTCTAGAATATCTAAAAAAATATATGTCTAATAAATATAGAGTCATTAAAATCAAATGAACACTCATTTTAAAGAGTATTGTTTAAACATTTACAAAGAATATTGTAATAAATACTTGTTATAAAATGTATAAAAAATTATTTGGGTAATAAGATCCAAAAGTTTTCGGATTAATCATGAAATATATATGATATGATACACAGTGTCACTTCGTATGGCGATTACTCAAATTTTAACGCTTCTAATAATATAAATTTTTCATCATATTTGCTATAAGATACACATACAACTTTCGCATCTTTAATATTTCAAAGAAATTGCGGATATATTAGACCGAAAACTTTTGAACATTACTGTACAATTCTTATCAATATATGTTTCGTCATAATTTTTATTTTTTTAATAAATTGAGTCTATATTTTATAATCCTAAAAATCGTTTCAATACAAATTCTCATTAGAATTAAAAAAATTGAATTTTGCATTCGCTATTTTGAATTTTTTATATTTCGATATCATTTTCTTATTCAGTGAAAAACCTCGTAATACACAATTTCATTGGTATTTGCGAATATTTTATTCTTTGCATCTGTCATATTAAATTCCATTTGAAATTTTTATGTGTTTATCCCATTTTCGTAGTCAGCGATTCCAAAAATTCCTTTAAAGATAATTAAACTACATATGTTTCTTTTAATCAGAAAATGTCAGATGTGAAAAAATTAAACAAATACAGTAACTAAAAAGAGTTTATTCTCTATTTCAACAAAAACATTTATCTTTAGATCTAAAGAAAGAAACGTTAAATTTCTCCTTTTTTGAAAATTCGAGCTAGCATTTAGAATTCAAATTCGCAATTTATTCATTATAGACCTCAATCTGTCAAAATATTTATATCTGTTTATTCATTACGTTAAGAATAGCCGAGTTAAAAATTGTTTACGCTATCAATTCGTACTCTTTAAGAAGAAAATGAATGATAATCATATTACGTGTTTCGGATTGGGAATGAAAGATAAATTGGGATATTAGGAGCGATAAGATGAAATTTTCCATCGATTAGTATCGGTGGATGATTAGTATGAGTCTCAGGCATTCGATTCCTAGATTGATCATACGTACCTGATATGAGCACCAACACTATCCACATGATCCCCACCAGGCTCTTCATCATGTCATTGTGTCACGTCCACCTCATTTCTTCTCGCCTTCGTGCGCCCCAGACCCCTCAGTTTTTGCACTGCAATGAAAGAAGGATGATCGGTCGATCGTAGAAACGTTATCAGATCTCGTGTCAACGTTCTTTCTTTTCCATTTATATAATTCTTATTGTTTTTCTCACACAAATTATCGTTCTAAAGTGAGCATAAATATAATATATTAATACATATATCTATATATGAAGGTGTAAATCGAGAAGTTGCTGAAATAAAATAACTGTCATTTTGTAATGAGTGATTAAATTGTTATGTATGCATTAGTTTATGGAAACGGATTACAATTAGGTACACCTCGTACTCTTTCACTTAAAACTTTTTAACTCTTTAATCAGTCCCTTATAAACCAAGGTATATATAAGGTAAGGGTCGAAATTGAAACCAGGACCTGCCAGCTACAAATTGATCGTTCCTGCACAGAGCCACGCCTCGCCCTATATAGTTACATTTCTAAAATTTCTTTTACTTCTTCTTTTAACGCAGCAAACAAGTGTATTATTGCTGTATCACGCAATTTATGAAAAATTGGAAAATCTTAGGTTTAATATTTAGTTATGCAACATAATTGCGTATTGATTACAACTGCGAAATCAAATTTGTAAATTTACTACAAAGGTACAACGCCAAACGAATTCGAATAAGGCACACGCAAAGAACGGACACGAAGAATGTCGGCCGAGTTGAATTATGAATAGGTAATTGTGGGCTATCGCGAAAACTTACGATCGTTTTTGCGCTCGCGCTCGCGATATATTCAAATATGTCCATGTCGATAAAACACGCGATAAGCTATGGTATTCACTTATACGTGGTGATCAAAGATATGCAGTTTTCTGAAAACGATAATGGTTTAGCGAAAATTCGGACGTCATCGCGATCGCACGTGATCTTTGAGAATTAATCAAAGATGTTTTTATTTATTAAAAAATGAGAGAGAGAGAGAGAGACTATATTCATTTGATATATTATTATATTAACATATCAACTTTTTAAATAACAAATACTAATAATACAAAAAATTCTGCATTTTTTCAATTATTTTCTAAGGAAAACAAAAGGTAGAAATGAAAACTTTTCAAATAATGCTCTTTGACAAACCAAATAAATAATGAACTTCCAACTCATTTTTTAATTAATTATCAAAAGGGAAAGCGCGAAAATTATAACGGTCGATGGGTACTCGAAACAATTGCGGTATCTCCGTTGAAAGACCGTCGATTTAATATTTCCTGAAACTACCCACTGCCGCGATTACAACGACGGCGCATAATTTTCGACGGCAAAGTGTTTGCTTTGCGCGAAATAGATATTTGATTCATGGTTTTTACGAGCGGGCCGGAGTTTTGCGCGCAGTTATCGGCGCCAATTTTCGCGCCGGGAGATTTATGGCAGTCGTAAGGCTCGCATTTACGTGATGTCGAACCCTTTCTGCATTTTGATACTTTTGCAGGTGGTGGCGCGACGGCTGGCGTCAATTATTCCAGCGATTCGGAAACCATCTCCGAATCTCTCGAATTCCAATAAATCCTCTTGCGCGCGGATATTCCAATCTTTCGCCGGAACCGGCCGCGAGATTTCGTCAACGCAACCTACGAATTTCTCAAATTTTCTTCCGACTCTCGTTTACAATTCGCTTCTCTGATGACTGATACAATCGCTTTAGCGCTTTCCTACATTAAAATATATATCTTACAATATTTATTGCAACAATATATGTAAATAGACCCTTTTATATAATAAAGGGTCTATAAACGAGCAACAATAGTTGTTAGAAAATTAACTTCGTGTATTAATTTAAACATAAAAATATCAGAATAGTACGGTTTGACTACACCGAGTCTTCTTCATCAAAATAAATTAATCAAACATTTAAAATTAACAATAAGAACAACTAAAGAGTAAATAAGATTAAATTTATAGACAATAATACATTGGAATACCATAAATAAAATGGGAATGAAAATAAGTCAACATAGATATAGCATAATAAAAAGTAACAATAGAAAATATACGATATATTTTATAAATTAGCAAAATCTGATCCGATTTTGAAGATCGTACATAATTTCCTTGCATAGATATTCTTGCTCAACCAAGAGAATTCAATTATAGAGCTAATTTCAAATGGCTCCAATAACTTCATCCGTGTCTTATTGTTAGAAAAGATAACGAGGAAACATCGTGTTGAATCAGGATGATAGGACAATGGTGATGCAAGCGATGTCGATGACGTGAAACGTACCCGCTGATTTGCTGCTTGATGCTGCGGGACTTTTTTCATTTATCCGTTTATTGACGTGTGTATTGTAGCAATGTCACTCGTGTACATATGTATCCGTCATTCGGTGGAAGTAGATTCAACCGAAGAGAAAACCGATTCGCGCTTTAAATTACAAAAAAGCCGGGCGCACGCGCGCGCGAGCAAAAGTTGTCGTCTATATCGTGGAAAGCGAATCCCCCTCTTTCCCCTCCTTCTATATATCTCTGTGTTGTACATCTATATTTCTCTTCCTATATTTATCCATCTATCTATCCGTCCGGCTTCCGTTTACCGATCATTTTTACGCCAACGCGAACATCTCTCTCTCTCTCTCTCTCTCTCTCTCTCTCTTCCTTATTTTTCTTCCTTTTCACCTGTGCCATATTCCAGTTCCGCTCGTTGCGTCCTGTTGTCGGTTTCACGCGTTTGTCACTCGCGAACGGTTGCATGAGCATTGCGTTGACCCGATTTTCGCGGATCCGATAGAAAATGGGGATCCTCGAAGAAACGGTACAACACAGGGATTACGATACATTTTTCGAGGGTTTTTTATCCTTCGTATTAACCCCGCAATAATAGTTTCTTTCCATTTACATCAAAACTCAGATAATTCTCACTTGTGACGTCATAACTCAGTTAAACGCACGTTCTTTTTGCATGCTGGCAAGTGAGATTCAACTGAGTTTTTATCCACAATCGAGACCACGTGCTTTAATGAATCTAAAATAAACTCACATTAAAAGTGAGGCTATGGACCTGTATTATTATGCGATAGCTTTGTCACCAAAATAACCAGGTAAATACAAAATGACATGTCTTACCTGAGTATAAAATACTTACAAAACTGAGTGACTCAGATCAGTTGAGTGTAAATGGAAAGCAACTAATAACGTGATTGAGCCATTAGCGAGCGATTCTGTTTTCGCATGATTACCTCTCGTATAAATCCAGTTCCGTTGTACAAACATATTCGCAAAGATCGTGTGATATCCTCTCCATTCTTTTTATTAATAAAAAAAATCCAATATCCAATATGGAAAAAATCTGTCGTTTTTCGAGATTGTAGATTGTTGCTGCGATATTGAATTCCTCACCTGTGTGTTCGATAAATCTCCGCAAAACTAATTTGGAAATTAGCAATCAAACTCTACTCTTTCTGTTCTAAAAAAAATGTAGTTATCGTTGCTAAACGTTATTCCGCAAGACCGCCTCTTTCTAACAAAGTATACGCAATGTATTTGTCGGAAGGGGTAGTTTCTCGGGAATCCATATTGGGCAATCGTTCGCGAATCGCGTGGGGGGGGGGGGGACAGACCTTTCAGGGCGCGAGATAGATGACGGGCGATCGGGCGGGCGGCCGTGTGAGTGGCAGGCACTTATTATTATCGGTTATTCGGTTCCGCGAGTGCCAATATTCTGTTATGCGCAACCCGTCGCGTCAGTTCGCCAGCGACGGGCTGGCTGACTGGCTGTTTGGCCGGCCGGCAACATCTCGCCACCCGGTCGTCCCTTGTCCGCTCCGCATCCATTATTCGGCCGACTGGCCGGCCTGCAGCCCCGGGGTTGCATTTTTCCACGCAGAACCCCCGATACCGACCGGCAATATCGCTGCGCGCAATAAAATTGCATATTGCACACATACAGGCGCTGATCCGTTTTCAGACCTAACAAAACCCAAACTTCTCATCTGGGTCCTTCCATCAATCCTGGTTTTCTTCGGTGATAAACGTCGAAGGCGAGAAAAATTACTATTTGAGATTATACTTGAGATCATTCAATTTAATCTATAATATCATCGCGTCGCTGAAGATGGCTCAAAGTAGAGCCAAAACGTACGATTTATATTAAATAATATATTAAATTATTAATTAAATGTTACATAGCGTTGGCTCCACGCTATAGGCACCCAACTAACCGCGTTTGACTCTCAAAGCTCACTTTTCCTTGTTACTCCTTAAATCACTATTAGTCGTAAATTTTCAAAATTGGTCTATTGAAGAACTTATAGAATAATCGTATTTGGAAATTAAATATTGAAATGGTTTAAAGAGAAATTACTTATTACTTTGTCACAAAAATGGCATATTAGATTATTGGATTAAACATTTCTTAAAATTAAATTCAGAATTAAAATTTTCTTGAAATAGAATCTATTTGAAATTAAAGAATGATTTTGATTTGCACTTCAAAGCTCAGTTTTTAAAAGATCCTTTATTCTCAATTACTTACTGTTGCACTCTCGATATTTTTGTTGAGGTAAAATCAACTCCAGCTGATCGAAAAGTCCGTGTGTAAAAAGTGGTTCGGTAGATCTATGACAATTCGTACATGTATAATACGTACATAGAGTTTTTACAACTGATAACAAAAACTTCCGTGCGATACACGACAAAATGGAAACTCGACAGGTCATTAATCGACACGTGATCGAACTCAATCTATGTACAAAATTTGAAAAGCTTTCAGTAAAAACAATTCAGCAGTCGGATCTTCATCAACGACCGTATATTGCGTCGGTATATAATGGCCGACGAGTGCACCAACGTTTATTTCGTTTGCCTTATTTCCATTCTATGCAGAAAAGTTCATTTATCGATCACGAACACATTTGACGTTGAAAATAAACGTGATATGTGGGATCCTCTATAAAATTTCCACCCGGAAAAAATGGCCTTACAAAAACATAATAAAATATTTCTCATCTCAATTGTACACCTCAAATATTTCAGATGTTTTTTATTAAAAAAAAAAAATGTTTGAAAT